GGATGGTCGCATGTAACGGCCACCCCTTTGAGGGTGGACATGTGCTCGAAGACAAAAAATCCATCATGACTAAGGCCGAGAGGCTGGATGGTCGCATGTAACGACCACCCCTTGGAGGGTGGACATGTGCTCGAAGACAAAAAATCCATCATGACTAAGGTCGAGAGGCTGGATGGTCGCATGTAACGGTCACCCCTTTGAAGGTGGATATGTGCTCGAAGATAAACAATCTATCACGACTAAGGCCGAAAGGCTGGATGGTCGCATGTAACGACCACCTCTTGGAGGGTGGACATGTGCTCGAAGACAAAAAAATCCATCATGACTAAGGCCGAGAGGCTGGATGGTCGCATATAACGACCACCCCTTTGAGGGTGGACATGTGCTCGCGGAAAAAATCTATCACGATCAAGACCGAAAGGCTGGATAGTCGCGTGAAATGAATACCCGTTCAAGGGTAAATAGGTGTAATGATATTCAATTCATTAAGATTGCCGCGGAAATTATGATTAATTTAGAAGATAAAAATGGAGTGATTATGGTTGGTTCACATGACATCGACATGTAGTAACGGCACGTGCTCGTCGATAACTAAATCAGATGCTACAACAAAGGCATTGACAAGAAAATTACACATGCTTCAAATCTTATAGTATTCATTCAACAAGATAACGCTCGCTCAAACGAACAAATACAAAAAAGAATAAAGATTACAACAAAATCAAGAAGGGGCATCATTTGGATCCTGAGTGGTTTGTGTAGCATTGGTACCACTGTCAGCAGGAGTCTGCTCGAGCTGCTGCGCCGATCCAGTGGGCTGGCTCGAGCCGGAGGCAGACCCAGCCCCACCAGTGGGCGGGGTTTGGCGAGCAGGAGGAGGGACGTAGCCGTCGGGGAGCTTGAAGGTGCGCTTCAGCAGGTCATCCCGCTCCACGACAAGCTCAAGAAGGCCGGACCACCAATCATGATCGTCGGGCAGGTCGAGGGCATTTTGATAGTCAACAGGGGCCTTAGGCATGACATCCCATATGGTTTCCATGTTGAACTCCTCGAACCCGTCCTCAGCCACTTGAAGCCCCACTTGTTGCATTATGGCCCCAAAGCAGTGGGTGCCATAATCCTGCACGTTATTTAGATATTGTGGTGACTGCTTGAAGGCAGCCACCACCTCTTCACGATAATTCTGCAGGAAGCGCTTGTCGGCGGTTGTGTGGAAGACCATGCGCCGGGCTCGGAGGGCAGCCTCATCGATCAGCGGTTTCGCGCTCTGCTCAAAAGCGATGTTTTCGCGCGCTCGTGCCGACTTCTCCTCCTCGAGCGCAGTCTCGAGAGCTTTCTTGGAGGCTAGGAGAGCCTCCTTCTCTGCTCGCTCCGCTGCGAGGGCCTCCTCGAAGGACTTCAAAGCCCCCTCGAGCGTATCCTTCTCATCAGAGAGGGCCTTATTACGGGCAGCAGACTCCTTCAATCGTTCGTGCAAGGCATTGGCCTTGCTGACGGTTTCCTCCAGCTGGGCGCCGAGACGGAGATTACTCCGCTCGAGGGCTGGAATAGATCGACCAGGGCTCGCTAGGGTCTGCTCGATTAATGGCGCGAGCTCGACCATTCCTCACAGGGGCACGCAATAAAAAATGTTGAAATACTTAACAAGCGAAAGACGAGGAATGAAAATGGACATGCATTGAGAAACAGTAAGCTACCTGAGCCAGCCAGTGGGCAAGCCGTTGGCCGCGATCGCGAAGGGAGTGGCCATCGTTATAACGGTCGGTGGGACGGTCAACGGGGGGAAGAACATCCCTAAGATAATGCGAAAACTCCGGACCGTCGAGCGTTGTAATCGAAAGAGCGGTCTCTTCAACGCGGCGGCGTTTGATGACATTTTCGTCCTCCCCAGCAGAGGAGCGTTTAAGTGGATTCTCCACTAGCCGAGTTCGCTCTGGAGAAGCAGGGATATGTACGACCGGGGTCGTTTGGTCGTGCGTGGGAGAACGTAGCGGAGGAGATGACGACGGTGGAGAGGATGGTTTCTCGAGCCGCTCTGATGGCTCGAGGGGCTGCTCGGTTGGAAGGTTGACTGAAGGAGGTTGCTCGACAGTTATGTTCGGAGGAGGGGAGGTCGAGCGCACAGATTGGGAGGCGGTCGAGTCAGCGGGTTTTGAGCCTGACCCTTCAGCGACTGGCTTCTTCCTCAAAGGAGCTTTCCTCCTGGGTACAGAGATGGCGGGCATCTCTGCAAAAAATTTACACAAAAATCAAAGACGTAATAGGTAAATGTATGGAACAAACATAACGAGGTGAATCAAACACAATAATGCTCGAGCCTGTAACGCATACCTGGGTCCCCCTCTATCCGGACCAAGTCAAGGATCTTCTGGCTGGGGAGAGGGCAGGGTTTATGGGTAAGTAGTCCACAAAAATGCAAGAGGTCCTCATCCTCGAGCAGAGTCTTCGACGCAACGGGCTTGCTGTTCCATACCGCAATCCGCTAGTCGAAGAGGGCGTTGGTTGAGGGTATGGAGTACTCACGTGGCAATTCTTTAAGCCACGGAGATGACGCCCAAGGGAAAGCAGGTCTAGGCTCGACAAAAGTGAATTTGTCTTTCCAGCGGGGGAATGAAGTGGACATCGTTGCGACTCTTGAGGTAGATCCCCTGAGCATGTTTGGAGGGAGTATAGCAGTAATGAAAAAAATCCAAGTCGAGCCGACCTAGACGGATGTGGCAGAGGATGATGAAGACGGTAATAAATCGGATAGCATTAGGAGGAAGTTGGTTCAGGGGCAGATCGAACCACTTGCAGAGGTCGACTAAATCTTGGCTTAAAGGAAAGCGGACGCCCAGTTTAAATTGCACCTCGAAGAAAGTGTAGCAGTTCGAAGGGGGATTATCATAAGTATCGCGAGGGCCGGGGGATACGAAGGCCCAGCCGACAGGATAGCCAATCTCTTCAGCATCTAGCCAGCCGGCTATGAGGGAGCGTGAAGAGGAAGAAGCCTTCTTCGAAGAAATAGAGGTCTTGGTTGACTTACCCTTCTTAGGGATAGCAGCATTGGAGGGTTTCGGAACACCCTTCTTAGGGTTGGAAGAAGGGGTAACCCGAGCGAAGATAGAATGGCGAGAAAGGGGGACGTTATCCTCATCCTCCTCAGCAGCAGCCTCGGTGGCATCGAGAGCCTCCTCGGCGGCGTCAGAAGCCCCGAACGCCGGTCGGCGGCGTTTTAGAGGGATGTAATCGAGGGTATCCTCATCTGATTCGTCAATCAGACGAGTAGATTGGCGAGAAGGAGAAGGTGTGGCGTGGTCGGAAGGGCGTAAAACGCTGATAGGAATAGGATTGTAGATTTCCTCAACAGAGCGAGAAGGCGAGTGAGGGATAGGCTGGCGAATAGGGAAAGACGATGCGCTTGTCTCATCCTCACTGAACTGATGGCTCGATGCGTTAGAATCAGCGGAATCTGAAAAGTAGAACAAAAATTGAGGGGAAAAGAAGAGGAATTAGGGTTTCGAAAAGCAAGAAAGGTGGGTTTTTTGCCGCAAGCGAAGCGAGAAGAATTGGGGAAAAGGAAGAGGCAACAGGAAAATCGAAAAATTGACAAAATAAACACACGTAAATATAAAATTGGAGCACAGGAGACTTACTCATGGTCGCGGTGGAGGAGTGGTTGCTGGAAAGTGCTTGAACAGGCGTTGAGAGTAGGCAAGAGCAGTCTGCAGGAAGAAAATGCGGAGCACAAAGAAGGTCCAAAATCGCAAAGGTGAAAAGCTGCAAAAATGGCTAAGTATCGTATTTATAGGAGTACTAATGAATAAGGTGAAGAGTTGGGAGAATATGACTGTTAGATAAAGGAAGATCCAACGGCGGAAACAATTAAAGAAGCGTAGATATCGGAGCGGCACAAATAGCGAGAAGACGTGATGATTAAAAGTACAGAGAAGGAGGACATGTGGCAGGCGGAAATCGCGCTAATAATAAAGAGAGATAAAAAGCGATCATAGCATGCAATAAAAGAAACCACGTGGTCGAGGAAAGGTAACAACATCAACAAAGTGATCGAGAAAAGGCGACACCAACAAAAATAATCGAAAAAGTACGTAGAACGAAGAAGACAGCTCGAATCCACTCTTAGATCGAGTCATTCAGACTCGACCAGAGTGGGGGGGACTAGATGATATGGGATATTATCTGACTAAAGAATAGACCGGTCCATCACGTCGGTCAAGCAGGCATAAGTCGGGAGAAAACCGCGTGGGTTGAAGGATGATCGACCAAAGCGGAAGAGATCGAGCAGAATGACAGAGTTGGTTGAGGATCGACCTAGCGAGGGGGAGCTCGATTATATCGAGCACGCAGCAGGAAGGAGGCAGTCGAGAGCGTGACCTGGACGCGAGTAGGCGCGTGGGTGATGTCAGGAGATCCCAACGGCCTGCGCAAAGGAATAATTCCCCTTAGCTCAGAGGGAGACACGTGGCGAGAATATATTGGTGCAGAGTAATAGTGGCAATAACCACCTCTGACACCCCTGACATTTCTGACAATACACACACTGTGTGTGTACGGACGGGCAGCGCGGGCAGGACAGCTCACCAAATAGCCGGGCAGCTCTTAGGGCAGGTATCTCACTCCTATATAATATAGGAGTGGGTCTTTTCTTAGGGTTTACGATTTATCCATTCTTTACTTTGGAAAATTGAACAAACATATACTGACTTAAGCATCGGAGGCTCTTCACCGGGAAACCCCACCGGTGTGAGAGTCTGTGCAGGGACGCGGCGTTCTATCGGCGAGGAAGAAGGAAGCAAACCGATTCCAAGCCGGTCGGAGTGTTTTGCGTTACCAATATATTTAATTTATAATATAATCGTAATATTATTTTCCCGTACATCGCACGGGCCACGCACTAGTTAATATAATTCGATCAACTATTAATATCTGTATTGGTTTGGGCCAAAGAATGCGTCACGATTCATGGCCCATTGCAGAAGTATTTAAAGGCCCACGGAGAAATGGAAAATCCGGCGAGGACACGTTTGTCAATTCAAAAACCTCAACCGTGGGATCCAAAATTCTATATTAACAAATTCGATCAAAGCCGAAGCCCACACACACAGAATCACACACACTTCAAAATTTCAAATCATCTCTCACACGCTTCAATCCCGCTCTCCTTTTTCACTTCTCATTTCTCTCTCTCTTTCTCACACACACACATCAAATCCATCGAAACTCTGTACAATTTGGCACATCAAACGACAGACACGCTCAAGGGGAAGATGTCGAGCCGCGAGAAAGAGAAGGGCGTCAATGTCCAGGTTCTCCTCCGTTGCAGGTAACGGTGAATTATATCCATTTGAAATTT